CACACACACACACACACACACACACACACACACACACACACACACACACACACACACACAATGAGACACTTTGTATGCTGTCCTCGAGCGCTTTTCATTTCTTCTCAGAAGAAGTCAAAGGGAGAGGACAGCCGCGCGCGCGAGAGAGAGAGAGAGAAAGAGAGAGAGAGAGACGGTTCACTGAGTTTCTGATTGTCTGCGCGTCTCCAATGCCATTTTGTTAACCCTAAATGAAATATGGATGGATTTGCCAATGATATTTGATGACTAAACACACACACACACACACACACACACACACACACACCTCTGAAGAGCTTCAAAGACCGACGAAACAGTCTCTCTGGCACAGTCATCCTTCTTTTCATGTGGAGTTGTGTATAGCGAACGGCACAACACCCACACACAAATATGCGTACATGCAGAGTGCACGCAGAATGAATCTGGCACAGAAGCCCAGCAAGATTCATTCCTGGCATTATGATAAGATTCATTCCTGGCATGATGCGCCAAGCAGCCTGTGGCTGAAACACCCACCCAGGATCGATTCCACAGCTGAATGCCCACAGCTGCCGTCTTTACCCAAATAGAGCGCCCAGTCGTTATAGCTGTGCATTTTGGGGACCTCCCGGTCCAGATGCATAAATAATGCCTGGGCATTCGATTCGGACGAAGTCGGCAAAGCACGACTGATGTAATCCCCTTCGTTCCCGATCACCATCAAAAGCCCGTAAGCCACAGAGTACTTGAGAGTCAAGTATAACTAACCTGTGCAGCCTCCTTGTTGAAGTACCGACCATCGCCCCCCAGCACCAACACTGCGTCGGTCAATTCATCCGCTGGCAATGTATTGAATAGCGACTGCAGCAAAAATTCAAAGGCAAGCACAATGCCAAAAACTTTCGTATCATTTTTCCGAATCTTTTCCGAATCTTTTCCCGCCAAAAATACGCAGAAACTTTGTTATCCAGTGTTTCACAAAATGACATGTAATCCCAGTTGCCTGGCTGCAGTGCCGTAGTCCGATACATCTTCTTCTTCTTCTTCTTCTTTTTTTTTTTTTTTTTTTTTTTTTTTTCCGGTACGTCATTTTGGTGCTGCCCAGTTCTCATTTTTTCGCTTTCAAAATTCTAAAAGGGACTGTAATTCTGCTAGTCGGATGATACCGCGGCAACCGAAATCTATGAGACCCTAAACCCTAAACCCCCCCAGTGAGGGATGGGAGGGGCGCAGAACCCCTACCAAGACGGACCAAGGGGGGCAAGCCAACTATGTCAGATGGTGAGCATGAAGCATGCGGCAGGTGAGCGTGCGGGGGGTATTAAACCCACCTCCTCCTGAATGGCCCCTTGCATGCGAAACCAACTGTGACCCAGGCCGCTGGCCCTCTACTGTATACAATCCTTTTGAAGACTTCAACCTACACGGTATCCATCCCAGTGGATCCATCAAATGAGAACTATGACGAGCGAAATTCTTATTTAAAAGTTAAAAAAAAAAGAAACAAAAAAATACACAAAACTGGGATCCATCAAAWGAGAAMTATGACGAGCGRMATTCTKATKTAAMMGWAAAAAAAWAAAAAAAAAAAAWAAAAAAAAAAAAAAGAAACACAAAWAAAGAAAARAAAAAATATTAWTTAAAAAAAAAAAAAAAAAAAAAAAAAAAAAAAAACACAAAATCCCAGACWGCACRWKAKMCCTACCTCCTKYTTGTCCAAATGAGATCTCATTGAAGACCCAAACTAGAAAATAAATCAATTCATAAATAATTAGAATAAACAATTAAGTAGATTATGAATAAACAAATAAAATTTAATAAATACACAATAATCAGTAAGTGAATAAAAAAGGGTCATTCTTCTCCCCTTTATCCATACCTGAATCCAGTTGGCCAAATAGTTTTCCTGCATGAACACCTTCACCTGTGAGACAAAGAGTCAGACACACACACACACAAAAAAAAAAAAAGAGTCCCAAGCTGTCATCAAGAAGGAACTGGTACACAGTACCTGATAGTACCACGTAGTACCACATAGTACTACATGGTACAACATAGTACTACATGGCCGAGCACTTAACCAAGAGAGAAGACAAAAGGACACTGGCACAAAAAGACCCAGGCTATTATGAAGAGGGAACTTGTACACAGTACCAGATAGTACCAGATAGTACTACATGGTACCACATAGTACCACATAGGACTACATGGTACTGCATAGTAGTACAGCCTAGCCAATCACGAAGAGGGCAGGTCACCAGCACCACTAGCGCTGGAGATAACGTTTTTTTTTTTATAGATCAAATTCAGTTCTCTTAAATTCTTATTCTCGAGAGAGGAGGAATCGCCACGCCGCCTCTGAAAATCCTTAAAAAAAAAAAAAAAAAAAAAAAAAAAACGCGATGTCAGAAAAACGTTTTTGTGAGTACGCTCGAGTCTCGACAGAAAAATATGCACAGTACCCACTCCAGTTTGCAGCAGTCAGGGTTCTGAGAGTGCTCGGCCGTCCTTTCAATGGAACCGTGAAAATCGGACAGTAGCCCCTCCCTCCCTCTAAGATTAAATCATAAGCAGTGTGTGGAAGGGGTGCAAGGGCAAAAGTAAGCACACATCCAGCTGCCTAGCTCAGTTGGTAAGGCACGCAAGTGGCATTCAGGAGGTCTTGGGTTCAATCCCCATTGGCCTCATGTACTTTCCTGGGCATGTTTGGCACCCACCACCTAGAGATAGCCCGTTGGTCCCCCCCCCAAGTGGCATTGCGCAGAGACTGCTGATGTTCATAGGGGGGGGGGGACCACCACCTGAGGGGAGGCACAGTGACTGGCCCATCGAAGAAGCTACTGTAGGTCCTGATGCTACCGGCTGACCCCTGGTGGGTATCGCCCACCTGCTGTAGCAGGTATCACACCTGCTGGTGGGTGCAGCTCCCGCATGTTCCCTCATTGGAGGCTTGAGCACGGATGTGGCTGC